AAAAAAAAAAAAAAAAACGAATGGAACACACATTGTGTAATAATTTAAAGAATTTCCTCTTATATGATCCTAAAAAATATCATGATTCTACGGAATTAAAAAAAGAAAGAAAAATTATTTAATTGTTCTTTATAGACATTTCTGCGTGTGTGATACAGTTTTTATTGAGCGAGTTTTTAATAATTAGAGAAGTCCAGAAACTCAGAATGATATTAAGATTCTGTTTGCAAATATCTCGCTTGATATTAACTGATATCCTATTCATATTACAATCACGCGATTGTCACACGATATTCTTATCCTTTATTTTTCATTCTTTTTGTCTTTTTTTTTTTTTTTTTTTTGATATTTTTAAATATTTATCATGTTAATTTTTTTTTCTGTTTCGTACAAAGAGTATAAGAATGATTTAATATTCAGACTTATATTCGCGATCATTTTATTTCAATAACGATTATTTAAGAATTAATTATTTTTATTTTAATATCATCTAATTACAATGCGACTCATTTCAATTGACGTCGACTTGTTCCATTATTCTTGGAATGCACTTTATTCTAACGCGATAATATATTTCTCGCAATAAGACCTCTGAGTAGCACATGAGGATACGTTTGTAAAACGTCTCATCTTTTTTACTATATTATACTGTGCGCTTCATACTAATTTGTACATACGATCATTATCAATGCAGTGTACGCCTAGACAAGAAGATGAAAAGCCATAATTAACGAACTTAATCAAAAGAAAGAAATGAAATCGACAACAAGTTCGCTTTTTTCTAGTTTAATGCATGTGCATTTAGTGGATATTTTTTAAACTATTCGGAGTCGCATTGCTACACTACACACAACTTAATATTTCATAGCTATGTGTTTTATATATAAATATAAATATGATTATATATATATATAAATACGAGATAATGAAGGACGATAAATTATAAGAAATAAAAATGTTTATGATAGAAAATATATGATAATTGTAAAACTATATGATGATTATATTTATAAAAAAATCCTTTGAATATTTCCATTTCCTCATATCATCATAAGCATCATCATAATTTTATATTATTCATAGGTAAGTAATTATCAATATATTTTTGTTTAATTAGATTAAAATTATAAAAGTTTATTATTTTTAAGAGGATAAATTTTTAAAAAATTTTTATACATAATAAAAAATTATTTATCATCGTAATTTAATCATTTTTAGTCGCATATTCTATTTGAATATTCATATCGTGAATAGAGGAAGACCTTGATGATGCCTCCAGGAAATGATGGTCATTATCTAATATAGTTTTATTATTACATCTGAGAGTGACCATTAAAAGTACTTACTCCCCTAGCAATGGCTTTCAATTTTATTACGAACATTTTTGTCCGATAACTATGTTTTGTAATTGTATCACGATTTATATTTTAATATTATTATTTCTTAATTATTAATTTTCACACAATATCACAATTTTTTCTTTCATTTGCATTTTATTTGTAATTAATATTATAGATCGATTTAATATATAAAAAAAAAATAGATATATTTATTAAAATATTATTATTTTAGTATTGTTTTAAACAACATGTTAATAATATTTTTAATATTTTTTTAAAATTACTTCTGATTAATTCTAACACAATTTAAATTTAATCGTATTCCAAAAATAGTTCGTAATCGCTACAAGATGTCATTACGTGTCCAATGATTGTCCGTGATTTTTCTTATGGCAATTTTCATTTATTAAAGACATTTATTAAAGAAATTAGAATATTTAGAATATGAATAAAATATGATGAAAGAACATCAGTTTAATTTTTTTTTTATTAAAAGTTTTAGTGTAATTAATATTTATCATTATTCTTTAAATTTACTTTACATAAAGTCCGATTTACAATGAATTGCGCATGCGCATTGATCTGTATTAAATTGGATATATAGTTGCTTGACTTGAGAATATTCTATATGAAATGTCTACATATACATATATCTTTAGTTATATATATGTATATATATGTACATAATGATTAAAGAAAGTTAGTCTGAGCAAGATGGCCGGTCGGACGACTTCGGTCTTATATTACTCTGCACTTTTGTTGCATTTAATATTATTAACGAGTTTCAATAACGGGCAGAGATTTGGTCTCAAAGCAAAAACTCTTCATATTACGGAAGATTACAATTCTTATGGTTATAGACAGCCGCTTGTCATTAATCGAGACGAATATTCGGATGTCAGCGAAACGTCAGCTAGTCGAACGCGCAGGGATATTCCTTCACAGATCTCAAATAATGATCCAAATATCACGACAAAGGTATGCAATTATCATTTTCTGTTTTATTACCATTCTGATATTTTTGATCCTATTCGGAACGATAATTCTATCGATTCATTTGCCGCATAAAGTAGTACATTGTTTTTGTTCTCTTATCACTGCGTACTTGTTATTCACCGATAGGAGAGATTTTAGAATTTTACGCGGCAGATAATAAGGGCGGTATATACAACGCTGTCTTTGTACGGCAGAGAGCGGAGAACGTAATTGCCGTATTATGTCCCTTCCGGACTAAATTTAATCAATCTTGACGAAACGGAGTAACGCGTCATAGTCGTTCTGTTATTGACATACAGAGGTCAGTAACCGCTCTATTCGTCTTCTTTATTTCGGCTTAAGCGTTCATTGATTGTTAAATATTTTTTGATCATGAAATCTTTCGTTCACTTTATAACATACACAAAAAAAATTACAAATGATTATTTTTAAATTCAATAAGCATAAGTTACACAGCGAAAAATATTATAACATTCATGCATATTAAGTTTTCAAACTTGTTTTTTTCGAAAACAATAAACTTTGGACAAAAAACTTTATTTTACATTTTTTTTAATTATAGTTATTTAATAATCAGTTTATGTTTCTATTGTACGCATTATTTATTTCTAATCACAATGTCAAATAAGGTATCAATACATTCATGTAAAAGTATTAAATAAACATTGATTATATTTAATAACTAGATAACATTTAATACGATCATAATTCATAAATAAAGTCGAAATTATTATTATTATAATGTTATTGAATAATGATTGATCATTATATTATTTATCTTATCTTTTTCGATATTATTAAGATTAAATTGATAGGAAGAATACTTTCAATTTTTTTATAATTATATTTAATTAATTATATTTATAATTATAGTTAAATTTAAATATTAAATTTTTATTTGAAATATTTCAAAGAAAATGTAAAAGGAAATAAATGAGGAAAAAATGCAATATTATTTTTTTCGAAGCACAGATTAATACTATTTATAGAAATGTTCTCTGATGATACAACAATACGTGACAATTACTCATAGGTAAGCATATATATATATATGTGTGTGTGTGTGTGTGTGTGTCATGCTAGTAATGTAATTATATCTAATGTAAAATACATATCTAAAATAAATATATATATATTTATATGAATGACAACAAAGGAATATTATGTGGAATATATAACGACCAACCAAGTTAAATCGTTAAAATATGTTATATTCAGTAAACAGAGATTAAGATATTCGTCATTTGTAATGGTATTTAAAATACGTGTATTTTTTTAAAAATAATTATAATCAAAAATTTATATTATACATTTTTTATTATAATAATAATTGTAATTATAAATTTAAATTTACGTCATAAAAAATAAAAAATAATATTTTTACAGTATTTTTAAAATAAATTTAATTATTTTTTAAAAATTTTAAATTTTAAATTTTAAAAATAAATTAAAATGTAATACGTACAAAATAGATTAAAATTTTCGATATAAAAATTTTGTTTTTGTTAGATTAATATTTTATATAATAAATCATATATACTTATATATAATATTAATTAATAGACAAATATTACCAATAAATTTTTACGAATTCCTTTCACTTTTTTTTTCCTATATATAATATACTTGCATTGCAGGAACAATGTCCTTGAAGTTATTTAAGATCACAGAACAGAAGAAAAAAGAAAAATGAAAAATGAAAAATATCTTTTTATTTATATTTTTTTATATGTATTTCAAATTTCTTTTTATTATATTTCTTTATATTTATTTCAAATATAGATTAACATATTTATAATGGTTCTATGACATAACATTCGTTTTTATTTATCAATCGAATATTGTATCTAATAGATATATTATTTAAATTACATTGCCAGTATTGTTTAACCATATCTATAGTAAGGAATAATAAAATTTGTATTCCTAAATAAATAAATATGTTTCTCCATTTTTAACTTATTTTTAACTATACTATTATACTATATGATAATAATTTTATTTTTGAAAATAATGCTACATTAAAAAAATTAAAAATTTTTATGTTTTTTATTTTCATAGGTCAATGCTTTAAATGATTCACATCAACAATTAATAGTTCATTGGGTAGGAGAAAGATCAAATGTGATAATATGTCTAGCAAGAGACAGTACACCAGTAAGAAGCAAAAATCCCACACCTAGTCCTAGTGCTGTGTACATAAGTTACAATTATGGCGATACATTCGTCAATATAACCGAAAAATTCCGAATCAGCACTTTTCAACAATACGCTACTTTGGACAAATTTACTAATCATCCAAAATATAACAGATTCGTAAGTTTATCTTTTTTTGATATCCTCAAATTTTCTTAGCTGTTCATTGTTCTCTTAATTTTATTTTATATCTTCCAGTGTATTTTTGTGGACAGTACACATAGATTACTTTTTATCACGCCAGACAATGGTGAAACTATCAATGAAGTGTCAGTACGATTTCATCCTAGTGAAATCTCATTTTATGAAAATGATGTTAATATTGTTCTTGCTTTGGATAAAATGAGCCCTCTACCTAGCGTAAGTTTTATAATCTTATATTGTATATTATATATATATATATATTTATATATATTTATTATATTGATTATATTGATTATATGTTTAGCTATGGTTTTCGACGAATACAGGCTACAAATGGACATTATTACGTCCTTATGTAAAAGCATTTTTTTGGTCTCCTGCACCTGCATTGATAATCGAACGAATGCACTCAGATGGAAGAAATACTGTTTATCAGATCGATTTGCAAAATAATTTACAAAATGATTCGGTAACACGCTTAATTGAACCATTTACATTGATCATTTCAGACGTGGAAGACTTTCAAATTAGAGGCGATTATAGATTTGCTACGTCAAAGAAAAAGGCATGTAAAATAGGCTAAGTATGAATTATCTTCAATTACGTTATTTAAACTTGAATTGTAAATAATTCAATTTTTTTTTTTCATAGAACGAAACGGAACATTTGGATCTCTACGTATCTTATAAAAATTTTAGTTTTATTAAAGCTGAATTTAATACAGCTTTACCAATCAAGAATTATCATATCGTCGACGTTTCGTATAATAGAGTTTTTATTGCTGCTTCTCACAGTGAAACGCAAGCGAATCTATACATTACAGAAGTTTTAGATCAGAAGATAGTTACATTCACTTTATCTCTTGAAGGAATTCTTGCGTTTTTCCCAAATAGCACTTGGAAAGACAGTTGGTTAAAGTAATTAGAACAAATAAAATAAAGCAATATATGAAACGATGATAAATTAAAACTTTGCATGTGCTTTCTTTCAGTGATGTATCGGACGAGCCATTTACCGATTTGTACAAAGTAGAAGGTCTCCGTGGTATTTATATAGCATCACAAGTAAAAGGAACACCAAAATCGGGATCTATCGGCCCGGAACATTTAGTTTCTTTAATAACATTTGATCATGGTGTAACATGGAATCCCATAAAGGCACCCACTGCAAATCACGAAGGTTTTCTAATTCACTGTGCCAAAGACTGTTCATTGCATTTAAGTCAACGTTTTAGTCAATTATATCCTGTAACGAGATCGGTATCTATTATGAGCTCGAAATCTGCTCCTGGAATTATAATGGCTACTGGAGTAATAGGACCGAATCTCAAGGGTCATCCTGCCCTGTATGTATCCAGAGACGCTGGCCTTACTTGGAAACAGGTTCTCAAGGACTACTACTTCTTTAACATAGGAGATCACGGTGGTCTTTTGGTAGCTGTTAGATACTTCAAGTCACGTGGAGAAACCAGAGATATTTCTTATTCCACTAATGAAGGAGAGACTTGGCAATCGTATGAATTCAACGAAGAAATGCTGCGCGTTTATGGATTGATGACTGAACCGGGGGAAAATACTACAGTTTTCACGATGTTTGGTTCAGCTAGTGGCCAGCACCAATGGCTAATTATCAAGGTTGATCTGAGAAATGTATTCGAAAAAGATTGTACCAAGGATGATTTTAAATTCTGGTCACCATCAAGTTCAGATCAACCAGTAATGTCTTGTGTGTTAGGTCGGAAGGAAACCTATCAAAGAAGAGCAGCGAGCGTTAATTGTTATACAGGAGTAGATTATGATCGGCCAATAAAAACGGAAATATGTCCATGCGATTTTAACGATTATCAATGTGATTTTGGCTTCATACGAGAAGGAAATCCTTATCATTGTATTAGAGATAAATCTGTAACTTTCTATGATCCTTATGCTGTACCGAATATTTGTGAACCTGGAGCATTTTATAATCGAACTAAGGGTTATATTAAGATAAACGATGATGAGTGTGTAGGTGGTTTAGCCAGAAATTTCGAACCAGATGAGATTCCATGCCCTATGAAGGAGAAATCTGAATTTCTATTAGTTGCTCAACGAGAGCACATTTCACGAATAGATTTAATAGAAGAGAAGATTGAAACATTGCCTATTCATGATTTAAAGAATGTGATAGCAATCGAATTCGATATGAGAAACAATTGTCTCTATTGGGCAGACATTGTTAACGATACCATAGGTAGGCAATGTTTTAAAGATGGTACGAGTTTTCCTGAAATTCTAGTGGAAACTGACTTGAGTTCTATAGAAGGAATGGCACTCGATTGGGTTTCTAATTTGTTATATTTTGTTGATGGTGTTAAGATGAGAATTCAAGTAATAAGAACAGATATATCAACCATGGGAAGAATGCGAAGAACGATCCTAGGATCTAATAATCTACAGAAACCTAGAGGAATAGCGGTTCATCCGATGAATGGATATATGTTTTGGACTGATTGGGCTCCAGGAAATGCTTCGGTATCAAGAGCCAATCTTGATGGATCGGATGTGAAAAGATTATTTGTGGAACCAACTGTCGAATGGCCAAATGGGATAACTATAGATCATATAGCGGAACGTATTTATTGGGTAGATGCTAGACAAGATTATATTGGGTCTAGCGATTTCGATGGGAAAAAATTCAAGAAAATAATCTCTAAAAATGAGAGAGTTTCACATCCTTTCGCTGTTGCAGTATTCAAGGACAATATGTATTGGGATGACTGGAAACAATCTATGATATTTGTTGCAGATAAGGATCATGGTGTCGGTATAACTACTATATTAGGCCACTTACCAGGTTTGATGGATCTTAAGGTATTCGCGCACAGTATGCAACATGGTACCAATGAGTGTGCTAATAATACATGTTCGCATATTTGCGTGGGTGCGCCCCATGGTCATGTCTGTCTTTGTCCTGACGGAATGGAAATGATCGAGGGCAAGTGCATGTGTCCAGGAGGAATCACCCCATTTGCCAATTTCACGTGTCCTAGAGTAGCCAGTACGTGTGCTCCGAATCAATTCACTTGTGCTAATGACGTATGTATCCCAGGATCATGGCATTGTGATCGGGATAACGATTGCGGCGATAATTCGGATGAGATCAATTGCGCGTCGTTGACCAGTTGTACACCAAATTTCGAATGTGATGGCAAGTGTATCTCAAAGCACTGGGTTTGTGATTTTGATGTGGATTGCAAGGACGGGAAAGATGAAATGAATTGCAAATATCCGCAGTGCTCGGAGTCGCAATTCAAGTGTGACAATGGTAGATGCATATCGCATAGATGGCGTTGTGACGATGAGAACGATTGTCGAGATGGTTCTGATGAGAAGAACTGTCCCAAAAAAGAATATCCCACTACGTGTAGGTCTGACGAATTCCAATGTAAATCGGACAAATCTTGTATATCTAAGAGTTGGAAATGCGATGGGGAAAAAGATTGCGAAGATGGATCTGATGAGGCCAAGTGTGACGATATGGTTTGTCAAAGTTGGCAGTTCACTTGTAACTTAATGTCGAAGGAAAAACATCGTTGCATATACAATTCATGGGTTTGCGATGGGGATAAGGACTGTGCCGACGGATCCGATGAAGTAAATTGTACCATCACCGTGCATTCATCGGTTCCTCTACCCAGTTCTAATTCTTGTAATAGTTGGATGTTCATGTGTAATAATAGGAAATGCGTGCCTTATTGGTGGAAATGTGACAGCGTGGATGATTGTGGGGATGATTCGGATGAGATAGGCTGTGGTAACGAAGAGGCCGAAGAATGGACCGTAATATATCCTACGGAGCAGTCAAAAGTCTGCCGTGAACATCAATTCCAGTGCTTAAACGGTGAATGTATACAAGATTCATGGCTTTGTGATGGTTCCAACGATTGTACTTCCGGTGAAGACGAAATACACTGTGGAAGCAGTGATCATTCCTCTTGCAGAGAAGATCAGTTTATGTGTCGTATGGACGGTACTTGTATTCCCATAAGGAATGTTTGTAATGACGTAGAGGAATGTCCAGATGGTAGTGATGAATTGGGTTGCTCTGAAGAACAGTATTCCAATCCGGCAGCTACACCGTCTTGTTTCCTTGGTTTATTCCCTTGTGACGAGACACGGTGTATCCCTCTAGCACAATATTGCGATGGAAAACAAGATTGCGTGGATGGTTTCGATGAGAGCAATTGCGAGAAAAATAATTCGCGTGTTTACCAAGTGCTTGAAATGGGAGTGGACGAACGATCTATGAACGCTACAAGTTTCGTTTTCTATTGGTTGATGCCTGTACCCAATAATATTACTTTCGAGTTCCTACCTTCGATAGCATATGCTATACCTGGGGCAAACTGGACCAATGCCAGCAATTGGGTCGCTGATATGGAATATCAATTTAATAATTTGAAACCATACACTCGTTACAATATCACTATTTACGTTAGAATAAAAGGCCAATCTACTGTATTCCCTCCAGCAAAATATTTCACTGTTACAACAGGTGAAGGTGTTCCTTCAGAGCCGTGGAATGTAACCGTAACTCAAAGAAATGGTACTAGTGTAGAGGTTAGCTGGCAACGTCCTTTGTATCCGAATGGACCTATTACTGGTTACGAAGGATTCGTAGCGCCACCTATTCCACCTATACGATTCTTCAGACAAAAAACTTCTGCCATTTTAAATATGCCATTCGAGGCTGGAAAAAATTATTCGTTTTGGATAATAGCAAAGAACAAGGAACGAGAATCTGCCTCATCTAACGTAACTATCTTAAATTTCGATGGCTCCGCTAATATTGATAATATCGAAGATCTTAAGGTAGAATCAAAGACCAATCATTCTGTGATTTTGACATGGAAAAAGATGGATGATGTTTCTTATATCGTTACACCGAAAGGTCCGACAAATTATCCTACGTTACCAACAATTCCTGTATCCATTAATCGTGTAGAAGTGTCAAGATTAGCTCCAGGAACTAATTATACTTTTGAAGTCAGTGCTGTAAGAAAGAACTACATTGGTAAAACTAAGACTATTACTGTAGCTACGGACGGCACTCCTTTGCCAACTATTACGAACCTGGTTGCCCAGCTAGTGAAACCGCATGGGACCTCGGTAAAACTTACTTGGGACCCGCCAAAAAATCCGAGAAAAATAAAATGGCAGTACGCGATTCATTATGCGGTGAACATGATAGAATTCTTCAAGGGTAAGAATTCAATATAAGGCATAACTCATAAATATGGATTCTATTCTCATTAGTCTTATTATTTTTAGAATACAAACTTTTAACGACGAACTTGTCGGCAACTATCAAAGAACTGGAAGCCTGCGAATCTTACGTGTTCGCAGTAGGTGTGAACGGCGATTATGGTGCTGGACCATTAAGTCAACCAGTTACGGTGTTCACGCATTTTAATCAACAAGCTGCACCAAAGAAAGTAAAAGTCACTCCTACGGACAATCTTAATTCCATTATTATTTCTTGGAGTGCCAGTTGTCCTAATATCGACGAGCCTATTAGATATACGGTGATTGAGAAATTTTTAAACTTTTGCATTATTATATATGTATATTTTTCAAATCAAGAAATATCTTTTATTTCTTAATATTAATTTGAAAACGATATATCGAATTTTTCTTTATTTAAAATTAAAATTTTTCAAATATTTTTTCCAGATTACTGTGACAGAAATGACTCTAAATAAACATTTCGTAGTGACATTACCACCGACTAATGAAACTGTTATGAGACATAAATTCAATTCGATCAAACATGGTGGCAAATATAAAATTATAATATCCACGGATGTGGAAGACGCTATACCAAGTCAATCAGTTATTTATACGGCGCCAGACATTCAGCCTCCTCATCAGGTGAACGTTCTGCACAAGGATCAAGGCTTTATTATTTTTTGGCAAGAACACGATTTACCATCCACTTTGAGCAATGTTAAATATCATTACGAGATTTTGGTAGTAGAAGGATCGAATACGATGAAAGAATCGTCTGCCAAAATATATAAAGTTGATCAGCCACCGTATATATACAAAGATGCGAAACCAGATGTTATCTATACATTCGCCATTCGATTGGTCACCGAAGAAGGTTTCCAAAGTCCTCTCAGCGAAGTTTTTAGCACTAGATATAGTGCCGGTAATTATGAGAATTATTTTTTTAATTATTCCTAATAAAATTGCGATAGATTTTATTTTTATTGCGATATCATTGGTACAAGTTATAAAAAAAAAAAAATTTCAGAAGTGTCATCGTTACCAGTAACGATAAATACATCCAATATCCTCTCATTCGCGATACCGATCTGTTTGTTGATTATCGCTTTGGGATCCGCATTGGCATATTTTGTTGTCAGACATAGAAGATTGACTAACAGTTTCACACAATTTGCTAATAGTCACTATGATACCAGACGTGGACAAGCAACTTTCCCGGGTACTACAGACGGCTTAGGTATATTTATATATTGTTTAATATATTAATTTAAGTTTGAAAGATTGAGTTTGAATCTGAAATATTTTAATATATATGAAATTTTTTAAAAATTTTATTTTTTTTGTAATTTTAGAAGAAGAAGATAGTCCTGTAATCCGAGGCTTCTCCGATGATGAACCGCTAGTAATAGCATAAACTCGTGAAAAAAATTACACATACAACAACATGACATGTTTACATCAATGAACATATCCAGAAAAATATTTAAGTATATAGGTACACTTTATATACACATATATGTATACACATAATATTTATATTTTAAGAGAAATGTGCTAAGACACTATACGTTTAAATATAAATATATATGTGTATATATACATGTATATATTAGATAAAAGATGGCCTGATCATAAAATTGGAAAGCTTTTATGAAAGTGGCTCAAGACTGACATACACAAATATACATACAGATAAAAATATATATATATATATAAATATATATATATATATATGTACACATTATAATTGTAGGAAGCAAACCAAGATT